AGAATGCAGTTTAGAAATTCTTACAGATATCTATCCAAGCAGCGGTATTGCAGGACCTCAGTAGATATTACATTAAACCCCAAAATAAATTCAAAATGTATTAATTTTTAGTTGTTTTACTCTCCAGGGATAAAACACCCCAGCTGCACAAGGGCTTCAGGGCCAGCCTCCGACGACAAGCGGGTGAAGCACAGCAGCATTATTGCCCCTTGTGCCTTGCTTCCTATTGATCCTGTGACACCTGGCAGATATATCTGAGGTTTTGCTAACAGGACATAAGCCCGTCAAATGATCTGAGTGTGGCCAGACCCGTGCCTTGCAGGACACACAGCCAAGTCCCTCCATTGATTTTGGTCCAAGTCACTGGGAAGTATAACCCTGTGCAGAGGCAGACCATGGCAGACACTGCTGCAGTGGGATGGAGCTGGGATTTGCAGTATTTACATTCATTTTGTCCCCCAAAAGCACCAGTGAGAAGGAAAGCCCCTGCATGAGCTGCCTGGCTACTGAGCATACAGCTTTCAAAAAAATCAAAGTTTCCCTCTGCAGCTGGTTCTACCCTTCCTCTTGCTTTTTATTTATTTTATTTTATTTTATTCCAAAGAGATGAAAGCTGACCACTTCCATTCTCTCTCTCCCGGCATGTCCCCACGTGAGCACATACTGCACAGGCAGCACCCTGGGTGCTGCTGCTCCCCAAGCACCCAGGGGTGCAGAGCACCCTGTTCAGCACCAGCCCCCATTCCCAGAGAACTCCAGGGCAGCTGTTATACACCTCAGGGTGGCTTTTAACTCACTTGCTCAGGGCTTGGTGGGAGCTGTCCCCTCTTCACAGGGACTGGACCACAGCAAGGCAGTCCCAGGGCAGGAGCAGCACAGGGCACTGCTGGTGGACATCATACGGCACTGGTTAACCCCCATGTCCTCCTCTGGTTACCCCTGGGCAAGAGTAAAACTGCCACAGAGGCTGCACTCCACAATGACTTTTCTCCCGCGTGACAGCAGTCTGGGCGAGGATTCCTCACACTTTACCTCCACCCCATTAGCTGATCCCCAGTGCTGCCGATACACACAGCCTAGGTTTCTGCCCAGCGTCCAAGCAGCACCGAGGGGCTTTGCCTGGGGTGAGGGGGCAGCTGGCTGAGCTGGGGTGGGCTGTTCAGGACAGCATGACCCCATGGCAAACGAATGTCACTAAAAAAAGGAAAAAAGAATTAAAAAAAATCACTGTTCCCTCAGCCGGTAGCGAGGCAATGCCAACTCTGGCCTCAGCCACTTGCACAACGGGGAAAGCCACTGGAAAGCCACTGGATTGCTGACCCGGGAGGGTTCGGGAGGGAGCTGAGGAGGCCAGGGCAGTGCCGCTTGGGCAGGATGGGCAGCGGGGCAGGCAAGAGCTGGCACTGCCCATGGCACTGGCACTGGCTGGGACAACCAACCGAGCACGCCAGGGGGGCA